TCTCGTAGGGCTCGAAGCCTTTATTATATATTGGTTTATTACATATGCACTCTTTAAGGTATTAAAAGTATTAAATGTATTATATCCCTTATATTCCTTTAACGTCCTTTATCACTTATAACCCTTAAATCTCTTATATCTCTTTTACTACCGTTTTCTCTTAAAGCTCTTATTGCTCCTATATCTCCTAACCGATCAAAAAGACATATAGGACCGATAATCCCGGGAAGCCCATATTAGGTAAAGGATTGGCATACCCATTCTGCACCACTTCGATTACCTTCTTCCGGGATTACAGTTCTACAGCTCACACCGGATGACTATCAATTTAGACTTACTTTGTTCCCATGAAATGTGTTGTGCAATACTGCAAAATATAAATAAAACACATTTATATACGTCAGTATGCAAGATAACAATAGTGACAAAAATCAATTGAAAAGCCAACCGTAAAATCAAACGAAAGAATAAGCACATATGTAGGTTATTTGAGATTAGCATTTTCTTCTTTTTTAAACTTTTTTTATAATTTTTTTTTTTGTTACAAAAGACAACGATTATTTGTATAATCATACTAGAAGGCTCTTTGTTATTAAAGTGCTTATATATTGTTTTATAAAGTTTTTTTTTTTTGAAAAAATCTGATTTTTTTTCTTTTTAAAAAAATTGATTTTTTTTTCTTTTGAAAATTTTTTTTTTTTTTTTAAAAAAAAAATGATTTTTTTTCAATTTTTTTTTTTTTAAATGATTAGTTTTTTTTTTTAAAACACTTATAAGCATATATTGTAAATATGAATCCAACTACCTCTGAAAATTTAACAAATTTAACACCAAATCAAAGGTATTTTTTTCTTTTTAACATGAGCAAACCATTAGAAATTTCTTTACTGGAATTTGATAATGACTGGTGGCTTCTTGTCTTGAATATATGGACTAAGTTCAGTCATGAAGATCTAGTTAATGGCAATTTATAGAATACATTTACATGTCACTTTACAAAAAATAGACTATCAAGTTTGTGAAAAGAGGATGTGCCATAAGAAAAATGTAGAAAAACAAAGATTCGACCTGCTGGTCTGTACTCTGCTAAAATAAAAATTACATGATATCCTTCAACATTAAAAGTTCATATAGAACAATTTAAAGATTCACCTGACTATACCTACTCTTTGGATGATAGTGAAAAACTAAAGCACTTACAAATCGTTCGGACTTTAGTTGAAATAGAAGCTGTTAAGAACTATAGACCACCTGAAATAACAAGTGCAGTAAAAGAATATGTAACAGAAACATTGGATCTGAGAAAAAGTGTAAAAGAATCAAAATGTAAGGAAGTTTCAAACATAAAACTCAAAGTTCATAGTGCTCTCAATACACATCTTATTGGCAATTTGAAGCTTGAACTAGATATTTGTGAAATGGTCTCTTTTTTTGAAAAGCAAGAATATAAAGTCCAGCATTTTAAAATTACTAGCCAATCTACTTAGGGTCTTGTTTTTGTGTACCCCAATTAAATTAATAATCTTGAGCAGTATGGATAGTTGATATTAATCGATTCAACCCACAAGACAAACAAATACAATTATCATTTATTTATATTGTATGTTTGTAACATGTATGGATACTGGGATGTAGGGGCTTATTTCTTTGTAAATAATGAGGATAGTGACACCATTGCAGAGGCTTTAAAGATAGTTAGATGGTTTGCAAATAAATGGAAGTCTAGTTATTTTCTTGCTGACCATAGTCATGTAGAAACAAAAAGTGTGAAAAAAACCTTTTTAGGTCTTCGAAATGACAAGCAAAAATGTAATGTTATTTATTGTACAGTTCATATTATGAGAACATGGATAAGAAAGATTTATGACTCTAAAACTTGACAAAAAATGAACCAAGCAATACACAAGAGGACTAAACCTGGCTGTGAAAGTCTCATTCAACAAGCAATTAACAAGTGCTTAGTTTCAGATATACAATGATATATCCAACAAAACTATTTAAAAAATACAGATCAGTAGGCCCTTTGGGTCTGGCAACATTCTCCCTTACTTCTGCAAGTAACTACAACAAATCCCCTGGAGTCGTACCACTCTGAATTAAAACATACCACCTTTTCACATCATGGATTAATCGGTACAAATTTTTTATTTTTTTTTTTATATGACTAGGTTTAGAATTGATTTTAAGTTGAAGCCGAAAGATGAGAATCAGTTCTAAGGAAAGTCTTATACTTTTTAAAAAATAAGTTAAATTATAATTAATTGTACAGTTTATTAAACACATTCTGAACTAATTCAATAATATATTTATTAAGTTTACAATCATGTAGATGGTGTGACAGTAATCTTAATATATGAATTAACTCAAAACATCAAAACAAATGATGGCATTTCAATATGCTGATGACGAAAATCTTCATAATTTTAAAAGAATATTCAAGATCTTTTCTAAAAAAAAAATTTATGATGCAGGATATATTTGTGCAGACTTTCACAATGGTGATATTTTTGCAAGGGCATTAGAAATTTAGATCTAGGATCATTTAAAAAATAATTTAGGTAATTGTATTTATTATAAAAACATTCCTTATGCCACTCTAGAAATTTACAAGGTCGAAGCCTTACAATGGGCATAGATGTATATGATTTTGAAGTTACCATGTTAGAGCTTTCAATCAGACAAAGACTTTTGACAGTTGGTACTAAACTTGTAGCAAAGACTTGAATCGGATTGTGGCCTAAATTTGCCCCCAGAGCTCCAAATTGTTATATTGAATTAGCTATGCAATGCATAAATTCTGATTCACAAACTGGTCTGCTTTGGCAATTTTGATTAAACCTAATTGATAGAATAAATGCATGGAAATTCAGATGATGCAAATGAAATTAGAAAGCAATCATAAGTTGATAAAATAGGTTGAATATAACTATATAACTTTAAAGGTTATTTTGCAGTGCTGCTTATCTCTTACCTATTATAAAATATCTGTCAATGATATTATTGATAATAGAAAACTATGTAAAAGGGATTTTCATTTAGGGCACTTATGAAAATGATAGAGTAGATTCTTTTAATATTCGAAGATTTGGATTTCAACAATTTGGTTAGATGATATGTGAATTCAAAGAATTATTTTATAAAATAGAAATTAGAAGTTTTACTGATTATAAAGTTCAAGAACAAGTAAGCTATTATTCAATGTATGTAATTTTATCTAAAATATGTTATAATATCTACTTATTTTTTATAAATTTACAGTAAATGTTTCATGTAATTAAAGAATAGTGAATAGCTTGAGGCACTATAACAAAAAAAGGGATAAAAAATGTGTAACTTGCAAACAGCTCAAGAACTTTTTTGCATGCCTCTTTATATTGCTCAAGAAGTATTATATTAAATAGAAAGGAATAACTCAAAAATCAGATATTTATTCTTTCGGAATAATTATGTCAGAGGTTTTTATTGGATATCCTCCATATCACCTTGCACTTAAGATTTGTAAAGGTCTCAGACCTAAAATTAGATGTGAAATTCCTCAACTACTTTTGGATCTGATAAATAAATGCTTAGATATAGAATCTCAAAATCGACCAACTGTTAGTGAATTGGTTGATACACTGTATCAGCTTTATAATGACCTGAGAAAAGAAGAAACTGAATTATATAAGCAAGTTAAAAATATTAAAGATTGTGTTAAAGAATCACAACTTAAAGCTACATCTTATGATAATGTGATCAAATTAATTTCTTTGACAGCTTAGATAATATTTAATTGTTATGAACTTTAGTTCTCTGTTTTAGTAACAATTAGATAGCAAAAAAATTTGATAGTTTTTATTCGAACATTCTGGGTTTATGTTTTTATGTTTAGCATTATTTTGATAGAATTCAAATTTTCTATAAGTTATTTGTTATGACAAAGGAATCAGAGTCAAGAAAAAACTGCAGAGATAGACTTTGTATAGGGCACAAATAATTGTAATTGTTATCATAGCATTTAAGAAGTTCTAATTAAAAGTATTATTTATTAAATTAAAGTTAAAATACATTTTTTATATAATGTATAGTTCTAAGAGATAATTAACTTTAAAAACAGAATCGATACTTAGGTTTTTGACTTAGAATGAAAATTGATTTTGAACTAGAGAATGCTTGGGTTCGAGTTGGTTATGATCAAATAAATATAAATTACAACTTGGGCCTAAATATTAAATAAAAAGTTATTAAATTGTTAGTATAATTAGTGACTTATTATTTTATTGCTTTTCTTTAGGTTCATATCATAAAGTTGTGGAACTTGACAAAAAGAAACATAAAGACGCAGAGTATGTTACTTTCAAATTCTGCACCAAAAAAATTTCAGTATTTGGAATTGATGATGACATTCTTTTTGAAATTCATAAATTTCTGTACCCTATATAACAATTGATAATTAATGAATTTTGTGCCATTAAAAGAAGAATAGAAAAGGGAAAAGCAGCATCAGATCTTATGTTGCTTTATTGTGACTACCTCTTTTTTTGCCAATATTTACTCCTATATCAATATGTATTTCATGAATACATTCATGGTTCTATAAGATTGTTAACAAATGAAACAGTTGAGATTTCAGCAAATGTTTAAAGAGGCTGGGTTTGATATCTATACATGTCATGAATTAATTGAAGTAAGGAAACCCCAAAGAACTGAAGTCGAGAAAGCCACAGAGAATCGTCATTTAGTTGTAAATGAGTTGATTGAAAGAATGCATGATGTATATTGGCGGGTGAAGAGAGGGTAATTTTGTGCAAACAGATGCATTTATTCAAGAATTGAGTATGCACCTGGAGCCTGTATTAAATAAAAATAATTAAATGTTAGTTTAAAGTAGCAAGATAAATAAAAAATTTTTGAATTTT